GTAGGGAGAGTTGACTCATATTAATATCCGTCCTTCCTTTTATTTTAGATAATTACCTATCATTTAATGGTACAATTCAACTCAAATAATTTACTTGTAGCAATTAATTAAACTTGAATTTACTAACTAAATTATTGGTCTTACTCTTATTGTAATTGTATTCGAAATAATGAATGAAAATAGTAATCGTTAATTAAAATCTAATATAACTCCTTAAACTGCTAAATTAAACAGTTAAATGCTCTTGTGCCATTGACCTTCTAGTATTTTTTATTTATTCGTAGACTCCTACTAAATGGGTCTTCAGCAACATTAACTGAATATTAATAAAGTTTATTTATATATTTATGCACATACTAAATACTACGTTCAAAAATTCACATAATAAATTTTATTTAATTAGTTATTGTATTTTGAGAATCTAACGCTTCACTGGGGATTTTTTTGAGACAATTTATATTGGCAACCAGTGGTATCCATTCATTAACAATTTTTTTTTAGTATAAAAGAAATTTGTTAAGAATTGGAAGAGTGTAATTACATACATATATTTAAAGCAAAAAAATCTAATAATTCCTAGTACCTAATGGATAGATGATTTTGTTGATTTACTTACTGAAAATGATACATAAATGCGTTTCCAAAGATTGATTAATAGTTAAATTATACTAATTTAAAAAAAAACCTGTTGTTTATATTTCGTGATTTAGAAAAAAGGACACGATTTAAGAAAATGATTGTTTCGATAACAAAATTAACTTCGTAAAACTGTTTTTTCCATTGCGTGAATGCTGGCAACAAAAACAAATATCTTTGATGTTGTATAATGATGCTGGTTAATTACAAACGATTAAAATGGGAATGTTTAGGTATTGACGTAAATGGTTTAAATAAAGGAAACCTTTCTCCTTCTTCAAAAATTTCATATTAAATATCAAAAAATAAAACATTATAACTAAAATTTCCAAGGTGATATTGTTAATAAATGAATATCGCATGTGGGAAGCACAAATGAATGAAATGATTACTACAACAGGTATTTGTTCTTTGTACTGCAAAAATGAATTTTTTATTTATTTTTCCATTGTTAAACTCGCGAGACAATAGAAGATTAATATGATAGGAAAATAACGCATTTTTTTAAAACATACAATACGACTTAAAAGGGTTTAGAAAATTTTAAAGTTTTTGGTATTTAAAAAAAAATTCTTGAAATCCAAAAAAAAAAAAATTTACCTTCCGAAAGTTCACTTCCAAAAATAACAGCTTGACTTTTAGCTATCGTTATTGAATGTACTAGTGGCGTCATCCTTTGATGGGTATTTATAAGGGGTATGATAACTCCTAATTTTGATAATCCTAGCCATGTGCAAATAAATTCGGGTTTATTTTCAAGAAACAGGGCAACAACATCACCCTTTTTGTAACCGTGACTTTTAAATGCATTTGCTATTTTGTTGCTGTACTCTTCAACCTAAAATAGTAAAAAAAAACAATAAGTTCAGATTAAAAAAAAAAAATCCTTAATCGTTATCGGTTTAACAATAATTTAATTTTTGTTGTTACTGGAGATAAATAAATTAATGGATATAGATATGTGTAAATGAATGCATTTACTGGTTTACTTTATAACAGTAACACGACCTACTTCACTAGAAAGTAACTAAATGAAGAAATGCTAACACAGAAGTTTTAAAATCTTTCCTATATATTTATGCGTATAAAATGTATGGTGTATTATATTTCTTATTTTAAAAATGCGTACCTGCTGGAAAGTCCATTCTTCATCTTCAAAAATTATGGCCACCTTGTTGGGATGTTTTTTGGCATTTTGACGAAATAGATCGGCTATTGTGAGGTTTTTTCTTTCGTGAAGTTTTATTTTTATCAGTACTTTTATGTATCTTGATACGGCCCTGTAAATTAAGGTAAAAGCATGCATTATAATTCTCACGAAGAAAATCGAAAATATAAAAAACTAAAACGGCATTCGAACTGTTTACAATTAACACTCCTATGACCATACCCCACGTAATTCTAGTGACACATAGGGGAAAAGAGTTTCAGTAAAATGATTATTTAATTATTAAAATAAACTACGGCCTTAAAAAATTAAATTGCAATTAAAAATACCAAATAATGATATACTTCGAAAAATTATGCTATTTAAATATATGTTAATCAAATCTTTGGTTTTTTCCACTGATAGATAGCATGAGTCGCAGACGAAAACGAAATATCCAATTAATATTTTAGAAATAAATATGATGATTTGAAGTTTGGTAAACATTTAGTAAATATTTGTAGACAATAAGAATCCTCATAATAGCAAGCAATTTTAGATAGTAAAGAACATAAAATAAATGTGGACCAGATTTTTGTAAACGCATCACAAAATTAATATAAAAATTAACCCCCAAAGCCATTTACTTAACTGTGTGTCATTCGTTACTTTTATCGAGTTCTTTTTGTAAAGTTTTAACGTTTTCAAACGTATAAATTTAAATTTAAAATACGATTTCAAATTGGAATAAATATCAAATTAGTTTTAGTTAGGTACTTATTGTCTTTATATTTGGACAAAATTAGAAAGTTATGANTAAATAATTTTAATTAAAAAATAGAAGCTTCTGAGAATTTTTAACAAGAATCGGACGTTTACTACACAAAATAATTTTTTTCATTTCTTTCTGTTAGTAGAATAAATGAATACTAATTAGTTATTTTATTGTATTAGGTTGAGTGGCAAAATTATAAAACTAGAAAAACAATGAATAAAAAATTGGTGTAAATAACTTCATGGGATTTCCGCGTTTTCTAATTAAAAAAAAACACCAATAGATAATACAAGGTAATTACTAATTTGTGTTATTCTTTACAAATAAATGAGCCAACCTTGATTAGTCTGAACAGCTAGTAATTTTATTTAACTTTGCCTCATCGTGTAAATCCTCGACCTAAATTTCTTTAAGAAATATAGAAGGAAGAAGGAAGCTTTTAATTTTTGAAAATTGATGCATCAATAAATATGTAGGCATGTTTTATGCCAAAAAAAAGGTAATGTGCTTCTTCTGTATGGTTGCATTGAAGATTTTCATGATTTGATTACTTCTTCGTGTTTGGACACACGTCAAGAATTCATGCCTAATTTTAAATTAAGTTGCGTATAACATTAATTTGCAACAAAATATGTTTATTTCGTTGGAAAATGAAACAATTTATATTGAATTTGAATTTTTATGCACAACAAATATTTAATGAAATTTGTTTACTGGAAATCAACGAAAGGGTTGTAATACAATATGTACACATTTTATGCACAATAGGGGAAGTCTGGGAGACTTGCTCAGGTGAGAGAGTTGAACCACCTTTTAAAACTAAACTTATATTTCGCGATAACGAAACGCCACGACGGTCATTGGTAGAGGGCTCAAGTGTCCCTAAGGGTAGGGAGAGTTGACTCATCCCATTTTTCATTCAAATATATACGTATAACATANATAATATCTTCATAAATATTAATATGTAGTTTTGTTTTATGTAATCAAATTCCATAAATATATCGAAAATCGTTTTCCCCTATTTAATAACAATTAAAGAAAAAAGAAACAAAAACTAGAAAATTTCAAACAAACATTATATAATGCTGTAAATATTACACCGACATATTAAATTTCATTCGAAGCCTGTACTAACGCCGGTAGGATTAACTTGCTTGGAAAGCTTTTAACTTTTAAAATAGATACCCACGTATAAATACAAAAAGAACAAATGCATTAATTTGTAGAATTCCATTTGGAAGCTTCGACAGCAATAATTTTTAGTACTGTAATTACTGATTTCTTGTTTGCTAGATTTGTCTTTTTTCATTGCGTAAAAATCTCTACAAAACAAGACACGTTCGCAATTTTTTTTTTAATTACAAGATTGCGGGATTAGTTAAAATTTATGTACCGCAATGACAACAGATCATTAATCTTCCGTAGTACCTACAAGTTTTTATGCTCATTAACGTAAAGTAAGTAAATATTACAGTCTACGTATGCAAATTATCAATAAATATTCTAGAGCGTTCCAATGATGAAATTGGAAATTTACTCAAAAGAGCGAAATCAACAAGCAATTAAAATATGATTACTTTAAATTAGTTACTTGAGTTTTGTTTGTGAAAGTTTACTTTTAGAAATTTAAGAGACAACACGTGAAAATCTAAACTATATTCCAAAAGGAACTATTAATTACTAATTTTATTACGTACTGTATGGGTTAAATTTAACAGCTTTGCTAAAACATTTAAGTGTACTCATCACACATAAAATGAATACCATTTTACATACTTAATGTAATTTACGTAACACTAATGTAGGTAATACTGTAATAAAACGTAATGAGGACAATAAAACATTTTCTCGTTAATAAGGGTACTACTGAGTGATTGATATCAAAAGACTTATTAAGAGTGCCCTTAAAATCAAACGAAACACTAGAAGCACAAAAACTTCTAACTCATAATCAGTAAAAATATTCACAAAAAAAATCGTTACAGGTATTTTTGTAGTTTATATATATATATAATTTACCAAAAATTTACAGGTATTTCAGACATCTGACTATGTTTTTGTTCTTTTTTTTTATAAAATCCTAATTTTTCTTTATTAAATCGTACGCTATGTTGTTGCAAATTTTTTGTAGGACAATATTTGCGTAATAACACTAGAACCGGTTAAAGTCCAAATAAAAATAATTTTAAAAAGAATTTGCACAAACCAAAGTACTTTTTACACAAATAAAATACATTATGTAGGTATATGCAGATACATTAAACATTCGTTTCCTTTAGCATTGATCTTTCACCTGGATTAGAATTGAATTTACTTTAAAACAGGACGCAGGTTTAAATATTGGTATTCTTTTAGCTGGAGCACAGAAAACATATTCGTTTTGAATGCATAATTCGTAATAATATTTTAGCGAACTTTTAACTATTAATTACTGACTAAAACTTTGAATACGACAAAATATTAAATTGTTATCCCTTTAAAACCATGTAATGTACAGGGCACCAGTCAAAAGTTTGGGAAAGTTCTACAAAAATGTTAGGAGTTTTACTAGATAATAAACATATGTAAATATTAGGGTTGGGTTAAATTTAGGTTGGCCCGAAATTAGTAAAAAATAAACAAAAATTTTTAAACAAGACTTAATTATTAAACATAACTGTTCACCCATCTCTCCAGGGATGTGTGTGAATAACCTCAGCCCATTACCAACTTTTCTAGTCACCCTGTATATACACTTAGGCTTACAGCAAGTTATAAACTTAAAAAAGAATAGGAAAAAAACGCATGTTCCTCTTTCAAGGTAGCTATACTGAAATCCTTAAGAACAAAAAGACTATAATTTTGAGTAGCATGTAGAAGTAGAATGNATATAATATATTTAAGTACTACAATAACAAAAAAGTAATTATACATAAGTAAACCTAAATAAATAAGCTACTGTTTATTATTTATAATTGAATCACTAAGCCTCATTTATAAGAAAATACGATACTTTAAACAAAAAACGGGTCAACTCCTCCGGACTTTCCCTACTTCATCTTCTTCCAATATTAATTTGGGTGTTTTTTACCCACATAGACACAAGACTGTAACTTACTTTAGGTACTTTGAGTTAAATTTGAGTTCACCTTTGTACGATCGAATGGTAATTAAAATTAACCGAATAAATTCTTAGTAAATGTATTCAAATAAGGGGTAATAAACCAATAAACAATTGATAATGGACTCCAAGCAATTTCCAGGTAACTTTCATTTGTCAACTGATTTAAAATTGTTGAATGAGTCAAACATATGCTATTTTATGTTGAGAAAGTAAAAAAACATTAATTTTATGCACAAAAACTAAACATATTCACTAATGCTTGATTTTATGCAAAATGTGCAATTCTTTATACCTTAATCGTATTATTTTGAGTGTAAAATGAATATATCTACAATATTGGGGTGATGTATCTAGTAATAAAAAAGATGTTTTTTCATAAAACCTCAATTATAGATTTAAAATTAATGGAAATTGATTCCATTATTGATAATTGTTGTAACGTAATTATTAGTTATGAAGATTAATTTATCATTATAAATAGCAGTAATGCAGCGTAATAATATGGCTAAAGTCTATTAGAGCCACGTGCCGGTTATTTTACTGATATATTTTTGAATACCATCTAAGTAGCATATCAACTTGCTTATAATACATTATTATTAAAGAACATCAAAGGGGTCTATTTGCCTATTTTGTAAAGAACGTCATTAATTCGGCGAATAAAAAGTATTAAAATAAATAGTAAATAAGTAGTACGTATGTGAATGGTAATGCAATTTGTTATACACACTTTTGAAGATTAAACAACACTTTCATTTATAATGGCTTTTAAATCATATTAAACCAGTTAGAATAAGTCTCTAACTAATTTTAGTGATACCTCTAATGTTTTTTAAACGTTTTTATACAGGTATGGAATTTTAAGTTTTACGACTACTATTTTATGTTTAGTTTTAGAGATTCTTTTTATCTTTCTCGCTTTAAACCAAGTGCTAAATGATTATATTTATAATGACTAGAGATGTGCAAAACGGTTTTTTAAAAGTATTTAAATACAAAAGGCACATTTTTGATTTGCTATTTCAAATGTAAAATACAAAATAGATTTCCCTTTTGTATTTTAAATGCTAAATGCAAAATATGTATTTGCAAAATACATTTTTTGTAGTAGGTAATTTAATTACCAGCGGTGTAGATAAATTATATTATTAATATGCAATCGTTTTTGCTGGCAACTTCGTTCGCATTCAACTTTGACGAAGATTATTCCTAATAAAAAAATTATGTTCAACATACAAAAAATTGTAGCATAGATCACTTTCGACAATTTCGTCTCTATGACAAAAAATTTTT